GCAAACAAAAATAGGTTTTTGTTCGTTTGAAATAGATTATCTATATCTGCAATTTTGTCTCTAGTATGAACTTCACTGTCTATTGTAACTCACTCAGCGACCCGTAAAGTTTGACTTGCACCGATGTTTCTCTTGGCCAAAATTTTGCCTCGATATGTTGTATTTGGGAGTCTTGGAGGACATGATCTGTTGTCTCAGGTGCCAATCCACATGTGCACATGGCTGATTCGCCGATTTTAAATATTGTGTACATGTGGCTATGAAGTTGGCATCATCTAATCATTTTGCTCCCTCATTTCATGCAAGACACAGGGTTCATCTGGGTAAAGATAGAGCATGACAGCATTCAGGTCAAGTCCATGTTAGCACCGTCCCCTTTCTCAATGGCCAATGATGTGTCTCCACACTGATTGTACCCTATGTGCCTTTAATGTGGGTGCCCCATGTTAGTCTTTCATCAAATGTTACTCCAAATATGTGGGGGTTTCCCTCTTTTTAGAAGGATGTTGCATTGTAGGTGCATATCAACTTGTTCTAGCTTTGTGGAAAGAGAGAAGAGAGTCAAGATGGTTTTGTTTTGGTTTGTTGTCACTCCTCAGGAGTCTGTCTTATTTCTTAACTGTATTTATAGCTTCTTGTATTCTTGTTTTAGTTGTTCCTATTATTGTTCCACATTATGCACCTGACGAGATACAGTAAAAAATATGCCAGGCAATAAACTGTGCAATCTATTGTTTATGTCTTCTTTGTTCAAATTTACAATGGAGAAACATTGCTTTGATGTCCATGAGTGTTTGTAATAAAGACTCAGATATGCTCTTATCTCCTAGTGGACTATAAACTATCAACTCAGGTCACATCCTTTGTACATTTATTAATGATCAGAGTGGGTCAAAGTGTCTAAGCAACAATCAGATTTGTGTAGGGTGCTTAGAGCACATTAGGCCATGTGTACAGACTGGCCAGTGGTTGTTGCAGAATCAAAAGTTCTACAAACAATTCACGACAACTGTCACCCAGGAAGAAAGTTATGGCTGTACTGAAAGAGGTAGTCACTGCAGCCTTCCAGTGGCTTGAGAAGCAGTTGAACACACATCGTGATTGTAACTTATTCGCGTTCACCGGCTGTAAACTCCAGCAGAAAGTTCTGGTTGTTTGTCCACTTCTGGACTTTTAGTCTTTTTCCAGAACCTGAGTGTTACGTGTGCATCGGTTTTACAGATACGACTCACTTGCACGCAGCTGTTGGTTCCTTGCCTCTCAGGCAGTGCACTTCAAAAGAAGCTCCCAATCAGTCGCCTCTTACAACATGCTTTTGTTAAGGCAGCTGATCTATTCTTGTTTTCCCTACAACAGGGCACTGGAATCCGCATGGATGGAGCGCTCATGGATGGGAATGACCAATTGTGATATGATGTCAGCTCTTAAATCATAAATAATTTATGATTGGTTGAATTTTCCAGCTAAGACTTTCTATGAGATGAGAAAGCCAGTCATGCCAACTCTCCTTAGCAGCCTTTTACATATGAACCAAATTTGCTAGTGTTTCTATTCTTTGCTTCCCTCATAAACCTGGTAAAACATGGGTGGGTCCGTTTAACATAGCTGAAACTGATATGCGACACACTTTACTGTTTTAACCATTGCCAAATGCAGAATATATATTTGTTGTAGTAGATTATTAACTCTAACACTGTAGCAAGCCGTGATCCTGGCATTTTGGTCACTGCCACATTCCTATGAAGGCTACAAAACTAGAATGTGTGAAGTGACCCGTTTCTCAAAAGAGTAGCTGAATGTTATTTGTTTAGAAGGCCTGGATATGAACATATTTACGAAAAGTAGCATTTAGTGGTGTTTTCTTAGGAAACAAATGGCTTTTTAAAAAAAGTAAAGGACCCTTTTCCACGTCTTTAGGCCTATATTTTTATAGACCAATCGGCACAAGATGGGTGATGTGGTCAGCATCTTGCCGGCCGCCTCTACTTCCCGGGACTGTACCTGGTACCCACTCAAGGTTGGGTCGACCTGGGAGTCAAGGTCATTTTTGAAAAAAAAGTCTGGCTCCTCCAGGGAGCGAACCCACGACCTTCTGATCAGCAGGGAGCAACTAGCCGCTCTGCCTTGGGGACTGGCTTTTTATTTTAAGATAATTTATTTTCAAACCATATTGACGTTTAATCTCCCTACTGCCTCAGCCGGTCATGGCGTGCATCACCTGATACATATTTCGGTACAACTCATGAAAGTCACCCCATCTCATATTATAGTGCTCAAGATTGTGTAGGGTCCTGTGTTCCTCATTTTGAATGTTTTAAGCACATCCACCACTCACGACAGCCACCACAAAGAGCGTAAACATTCAAAGCTATATCAATTAACTTTTAAAATTATGACTTGTGTAAAATATTTTGTTTGTTTTTAAAAGATTTTTCTGTAAAATTCTATGTGTCTATGACCCCTTTTTTATTTAGGCAACTTTGGGGTCAAAGGGTTTAGAGCATCTGGCCATCTTCTTAGTATGCTAGGCTCTCATTCAAGAAACCAACCCAGATTCAAATTCTTACTAAAGTGATTGACTTTTATGTGAGGGACACAAATCCTAACCTGAAAGACTCACGAACGACTGCTCAAGGGTACAGTCTTAAATGAACAGCTCAAATCTGGGTTGGTTTGTTGAACGAGAGCCCAATACTACCCTAAAAAGTTTATCAAATGAGGACAGTAATGACACAAGGACAATACCATTGTGATTACAGCAAACACAGACTTCATAATCACCATGAAGCAATTTGAAATTTATTTACATATTACAAAAATAGTACACAAAACATGGAAAGTTTCCACAGAATTATGCAATTTCTTTCAAAATAACATCAGATTCTTTCTACAAGAAGCACAAACTGTCCACACAATGGACAAGTTGATGCCAATAAATACAGAATGATTTATCTGAAGCCCTTCTGCAGGAGAACCTAGCAGACATGTCCATCAGTGGCAGTGTAATGACCATCCCTCCACAAGCTGTGAGGTTGTGTCTTCCCACTTGGGTTGATCTCCCAGATAAAGCTAGTCCAATATGGGAGTCAGGAAATGTCCTAGGGAAGGGAAGGACGGTCAGTAAGATACCGAACATGTCACCCGTCAAGTTCTGGCCGACTTATACAATCATGGATCATAATTCCGTGGTGCTGGATTGGATCTCAGCTGTGGACGATTTTGCAGCAGACAGCAATGCATTAGTTTCGACACTGGTATCGAGAGCTGACTGTTCAGACAATGACAAACTACTGAATGTGGAAAACTGCAGTGTTAAACCTCAAACAGCCAAACAATGCTGGGGTTGGTTCTGCAACATCCTGTTGTAAAGGACACGTAATTACTTTTTTTTTCAATATGATAAGGCCATGTCTCTGTTTTACCTCTGTTAGGCCAATCAGCCCATTTCCAAAGTGCAATGAAAACACTTCTGTGTAATGATACAACATGCAACAAGATACTATGCATACGACTGTATTGACCAACTGCATGTGTGTGCAACCAGAAGATAACAGTAGCAGTTACAATGAAGACAAGAATTCAAATCCTAGCAAGTGGATGGGCTGAAAAAAGCTGTTTTATTTGGTTAATCCCAAAAGTGGTGATGAAGTGAATGGCAAGAACAGGCAGATCGTGGGAGAACTCAGAGAAAAGATGCTAATACAAACAGAAAATCCTTAGCATACCTCAGTACCCTAGGAAAATGAAATAAAAATCCTAGAGACTGGACAGTCAAAGAAGCAGTTTTATTAATCAAAAACAAACTATTGCCGTCCAACATGGATTTTTATAAATTAAAAAAAAAAAACACGAGTGTTTATTTTACAAAAATACCATTGGCTTCCATGTCAACCCAGCCTAAAACTGGTAGCAGGTAAAGTCCTGGGAAGTTAAGGTGGCAGTTCTGATGTTGCTTATGTCACTTGTCAAGTTCTGGCTGATCTACACAATTATGGATCCAGCCTGATACGCTGCTGGCAGGAAAAGGTTCCTCTACTCACTGACCTGGTGTTATGTCTGTGCTCTACACTGCTCCTAGAGGCATCCCATCTATGTGTGGCTGCCAATGTCTAGAACATAACTCCACTGGCCATGGCTGACAATATGACCCCAGGGTCACAGCTGGTAAATAACTCCACAGCTCCCTGTGTGGGTTCTAGGGCCCCATTTTGGGGACACAGAACAGACCCACTGCTCCCAGTGTGGGTTCTAGGGCCCCAGTGTGGGTTCTAGGGCCCCATTTTGGGGACACAAAGAACAGACCCACTGCTCCATAATGAGAGCTGTAAAAGTCGACTAATTAGAGGTTTCATTCAAAGTCAGAGTGCATCCACCTGATATGCAAGGAATCTGCATACAAATAAGCCAGATCTTTAAAACAAATTATTACCCGGAAATCAAAACCAGAACTTTCCACCATAGTTTACAGCCAGTGAATGTGAAGAAAAAGAAGACACTGCTTCAGTGTCTACATCTGATCCAGAACCTCTCCCCACACCAATATCTGAGATCTCCCCACCTTCCCCAGGGCTGAAGTATCACAGAACTGCCACTCAAAGCCAAGCTGCTGTCTTCAAATCCCTGACACTGAGAAAGTACATTGGCTTAACTTCTGCTTTCCCTTATGTCCATTGGTGTTTGTATCTCTTTCAAACAGTATCCCCTGGAATCATGTTATAGATATGTAACAGAGTAAACAGGCTTAAAGTTCATTCAACTATTACAATATGCCTTTAAAGAAATAATATATGATGCTTTGTAGACAGAACTGTGAAGCTATTGTGTGAGACTGTCTATAAATATATGATACAGTGGAGTGATCAAATAAGACCACAGACAACCGTATTGTAAAGTTACTGTGTGAGAATATATACATATATTTTTTTAGCAGGATCTTTAAATTCAGACAGAATTCTCTGAGCATCTCTGAAGAGTGTATATGCACTGAAAGAGATCAAGTATCATTGAAGCTGTTTGTGGTAAAAGAGAACATATGGCGTTCCAATGAGACTGCCATCTTTCTCCTCCAGTTTGTCAATGAACTCCCGCTCTTCCATGACTTTAATGCACTCATCATCACACTCCAGCCAGAAGCTGCCATGTTTACTGCTGCCAAGCCAGCTCTCAGATGTCATGTGATCAGTGGCACCACCATCAAACTTTCTCTCATGCGAATGGCTCTTTAACTGAGTTGTTCTTACATTGTCAATATCATTTCTAAGACATCTGCTTTTATTAACCAGCGGCCTGGTGCTAGTTGAAACATTTAACGTCTGATCACAGAGGTACACATCATCATATTCGCAACACTTGGAATCGTTACACAAGCTATCACTTGCTGAAACAAAGCTACGCTGTTCTGATGTCCAGTCGGACTCGTCTTTAAAACTGTCTGGGTCTGACGATGTATCCATCTTGGTTTCCACTAGCTGGCTGTTTTCCATCTTCATCTTTGACTTCAACAACTTACAAAACACAGACGGGTTGACATGGGGCTGAACTTTGACGTACGCTCTGTAGTGGCCATGGAGAATGCTTGAACCAGAATGGGTAACAATGGCGAACAATGAGAACCTAAAATGAAATAAAACAGTATGATTAATTTATACTTCTCATGTATCTGATCAAGAAAAACATCAGAAGCTCAAAAATATACAGGTGAATAAAGGATACATTCAGGAGAGAAAACAAACCTACTGTGGCTTGATGTCCTCAATGGATGGAACAAGTGTATAAGCACCCAGATTTCATTTCTGTATATCTGTTAGTAGTCGGCTCTGTGGCTGTCGATGTGAACACATTGTAATGCCGAGTTGCCGGGTTTGATCCCAGCTGCAGGCTATGTGCCTTGCATTGGTTTCGACAGTGGTATCAGGGAGCCGACCACCCAGGAAGCAATGGCAAACTACTGGATGTAAATTTGCCTAGAGAAACCACACAACAGCCAGGAATTGCTGGGGTTGGTTCTACAACGTCCTGTAAAGGATACCCAACTAACCATATCTGTTAGTAGTGAGCATCAACTATAGATACAATGCATTTTTTAAAATAAATATATTTTCAATCCATCTTTGATTGAATGATTATTTCCAGTTAAACGTATCCCTTTTACAGTGTTAACCAAAAACAATGGTTCTAGATTAGTTCTTGAGCACATAAAACAGAAACAGTATTACAGTTGATTCCACTGAAGTAAAACTCTGATAAGATGAAAGTCAATATGATCAGCTTAGTCCTGGCCATTTTCCCTCTCCATCTTTGTATCAAAAGTACTGATAAGTTGATTTCTGTTAACTGGAATATCTGGGTTAGCTATTTCTAAGTCGAACTGTCCATTATCACATGCCCGCTCTGTGTGTTATGCATTAGAAGCGTTGGTGAAAAGCGACCTGTATAGAAAATGGAACTACTGCAGCCCAGGATGCAGGATGACAGCCACACATGGGGAGGGAGCGGTCGCCTAACATGCAGTTGCTTCTAGGTTTACATTGGGAGGAGGTTAGGAACAGCAAAATAAGGTCATCAGATTTCCCGATTCTAATTTTGGCGCGGCTCATGTTTACATGCGTTTGGGTTGTTCGGCGATCAACGTTCTAACTTCTCTAATATATCCATATTTACTGCTCTTTCTACTTCCTTATTTGGTTCTTCTACCTGTCTCTTCTCCTTTCTCACTATCCCTCTTCTAATCATCTTCCTTCCCTATCTATCCTCACTCTGTTCTCTCGCTCTCCTCCTTCCTGCTCCTCTCTTTCCCTCTCATCTGCTATCTTCATCTCCTCCTCTGAAGCTTCCTTATGCTCTCCCCTTCCTCTCTCATCTTTTCCCTGTGGTTGTGTCTAGTACATAAGAAATTGTGTTATGGTTGGGGGGACAGGGTGAGGTTTCAGTCTACTTTTTGTGTTATGTTTTCTTTGGATATTTAACTCGATTAATTGGGAGCTTCCTTCAAAGTCAGATTACATCTGCCTGAGAGGCAAGGAACCAACAGTCTGCAGGCTATTGAGTCAGACCTGTGAAATGGATGTGCACTCTGCGCTCAGTTTCTCGAACGGGTCTATATTACAGTACTTGAACAGAGACAGTTCAATATTACAGTACCTGAACACAGACAGGTCTACATTACAGCACCTGGACAAAGACAGTTCAATATTACAGTACCTTAACACAGACATGTCTACATTACAGCACCTGGACAAAGACAGTTCTATATTACAGCACCTGAACACAGACAGGTCTTTATTACAGCACTTGGACAAAGACAGTTCTATATTACAGCACCTGAACACAGACAGTTCTAAATTACAGCACCTGGACAAAGACAGTTCTATATTACAGCACCTGGACACAAACAGTTCTATATTACAGCACCTGGACAAAGACAGTTCTATATCACAGCACCTGGACAAAGACAGTTCTATATTACAGCACCTGGACACAGACAGTCATATATTACAGCACCTGGACACAGACAGTTCTATACTACAGCACCTGAACCCAGACAGCTCTATATTACAGTACCTGGACACAGACAGTTCTATATTACAGCACCTGGACACAGACAGTTCTATATTACAGCACCTGGACACAGACAGCTCTATATTACAGCACCTGGACACAGACAGTTCTATATTACAGCACCTGGACACAGACAGTTCTATATTACAGCACCTGGACACAGACAGTTCTATATTACAGCACCTGATTACAACACCTGAACACAGGCAGGTCTACATGCTTGAGCACAGTTGGTTCTAAAATACAGTACTTGAAAACAGTCAGGTCTATATTACAGTTCTTGAACAGCGACAGGTCTATACTACAGTATCTGAACACAGGCAGTTCTATATTATAGCACTTGAACACATACAGTTCTATATTACAGTACCTGGACACAGACAGTTCTATATTACAAGACATGTTACAGCAATTAAACACAGAAAAACAGTTACATGTTTCCACATTAGTTCTTGGACACATAATATATATTACAGTGCTTGGACGTGGAACAGTTATATATTACAGTATTTGGACTAAGAATATATTTCAGTGCTTGAACATACAACAATAGTTCTGTTTAGAGTGTTTAATACCGAAAATCAGTTCTCTATTTGAGCTCCTGAATATAGATAGAACAACAGTTCTCTATTACAGTGCTTGGACAGAATGTGTTACAGTATTTGAAAACAGGTCAACAGTTCTCTATTACAGTGCTTGGACAGAATGTGTTACAGTATTTGAAAACAGGTCAACAGTTCTCTATTACAGTGCTTGGACAGAATGTGTTACAGTATTTGAAAACAGGTCAACAGTTCTCTATTACAGTGCTTGGACAGAATGTGTTACAGTATTTGAAAACAGGTCAACAGTTCTATATTACAGTGCTTGGACAGAATGTGTTACAGTATTTGAAAACAGGTCAACAGTTCTATATTACAGTGCTTGGACAGAATGTGTTACAGTATTTGAAAACAGGTCAACAGTTCTATATTACAGTGCTTGGACAGAATGTGTTACAGTATTTGAAAACAGGTCAACAGTTCTCTATTACAGTGCTTGGACAGAATGTGTTACAGTATTTGAAAACAGGTCAACAGTTCTCTATTACAGTGCTTGGACAGAATGTGTTACAGTATTTGAAAACAGGTCAACAGTTCTCTATTACAGTGGCTGAATACAGAACACCAGTTCTCTTTTAGGTTAGAGTGCTTGAATACAGAACAGCAGTTCTTTATTAGGGTTCTCGAATAAAGAACAACTGTCTTTTATTACAGTGCTCGAATACAGAACAGTTCTCTGTCACAGTGCTTGAACACAGAACAGTTTACTATTATAGTGCTTAAATACAACTGTGCTCTATTACAGCGCTTGAATACAGAGCCATTCTCTATGTGCTTGAATACAACAGTTCTCTATCACAGTGCTTGAATACAAACCAATAGTTCTCTAATACCAAAAAAAAAAAAACACTAAACAATAGTTCTCTTTTACAGTTCCTGAATACAACAGTTCTCTATATTACAGTGCTCGAATACAGAACAACAATTCTTTTTTACTGTACTTGGTAACTTACGTGTGGCTGGAATTAAAGCACTGTCCCTTGCACTGATAAAGCAAACAAGGCAATGTTTGTGGGATGGCAACTTTATCAGTCAGCTTAGAGACATGTCCAAAAAGCCTGCCAAGGAAAACAAGATGTAGAGAAAAGTCTGTCTGGGAAATCAAGATGTCACAAAATAATGCAAGATAGCCACACATCTTCTTCTGTGATGACCTTCAAAAGAACTGTTGACACATTTTGTGTGGTTTCCAGTTAGCCTGCATCTTTTTACCCAACATATTTCACTTCAGCAACCCTTTATTTGTCACCTTTACCAAATGTCTGTTAAAGGGTACCTTGTCTATTCTATTTTTATTCCCAAATAAGGACCCTGGAATCCACGTGGGGGAGAGTCATACAAAATTATGGTTTTCTTTTTTTTCTTTCTTCTTTTTTTAATGACCTCAGAACTGTAGTAGACAATTGATGTTATACAGCAGGAAAAGATAATCACCATTTTTGTGGTCAAGTTGTAAGAGAGGATCTGGAAAAGGGTGACAAAAAAAAAAATCATGGGTGTTGTGTGAATGGTTGATGAAGGTGGATAATACTGGATGGACTGACAGAGTACCACTGACAATAATCAGCAGTAAGTTTATTAACAATAGCGAACATGTGTTTGTGGAGAAGCATAACTGCATGTGTGATCCAGTACTTAAATGATGATGGTATATAGCTTATTTCTGCCCTGAAGTTCTTTTGTGACTAGCTTTCTTCAACATGTAGTTGGTTTACTGAACAGGTTCTGACAGCAGACTGCCATACACAAACAATCAATACTCTGCTAGTGGCTGAGGCTCCAATAACAATGCAGACATGTCACCCCATAACTGCTCTGTTCCTGTGCCAGTGAACATGTCCTTCAATGTTCCATGTAAAAAACTTGTCAGTCCCAGTTAAATGTTGAAGCTTGCAAACAAAGTAAAAAAAAAAAATTTTTTTTAAAGCATAAGGCAGCTGTGCCAACACCAAAGGTCCCACACCAGAATTGCAGCTCACTGCCGACACAAAAGGTCAGTCACATAGGGTGACATTGCACCACAGACAATCAATTATTACTACTAGTGACAAAGCATTTGCCTGATGAGATACTAGACCTAGTTCAATCCTAAAGAAAAGGCAGAAGTTTGTCCTTACCAGTGTAGCTCTGGGGCTGCTGATGCAGCCTTACATAAATTGCTGCCCAATAATCTCAAGATCATCTAGGAAGCCAAGGCAACAAGGAAAGAAACTGGTCAGCTTATCTCATGTTCTGACTTTGAATATGTGAACAACAAAACTATACGATCGAAAACAATCAAACATAGAGGGTATGAAGAAAACTGCTGATGGAAAAAAGAGACAATATAATTGTTTTGGCCACATAAAAAATACAAAACACTCCACTCTTTTAAAAACCATTTTGGAGGGAAAAGTTAAAGACAAGGCAGCAAGAGGCAGACAATGATATAAGTGAGAGAAAACATAAATGGATAAATAGCAGTATGATTGAGTGTACAACCAAGACAAGAGAGTGTGCTGGTAATCTACTGTAGAGATAGAGCATGACCGACTGAGAACTTGTGAAGGCACACCACTTCATACATTATTTTCTATGCAACTCACTTCATTAATGACCAATGCATTGCGGCTTAAAAAACACCATTAATGTAAAAGAGAGCAAAGAAGTGTGCTCACTTTGAGTTTGTGCTGAAGCGCTTCAAGTGCAGTGTCAGAACTGAGGGCAGGGTCAGATAATGACAAGAACGTTCAGCCTCCACATGGTGCACACACTGCTCACAGAAGTATTTGTTTGCATCATTCAGCCTCTCCACACTTGTACATGCCTGCATGAGTTTGGACAAGCATGAGCTGCCGGATTTATCTGCTAATAAAAAAGAAACATGGGTGATGGATACATTCGAGGAGAGAGGATAAATGTAAGTGCACTGGGCTTTATTCTGTATGGCTTAGTCTCTCTCTGCGACCCACTAGAAAAACATAAAGAGCACAAACTGTAGCTCCAAGGATCTCTGAAACCCCCTGCTCTCATGAAATGAAAGTTGAACATCCCAGAATCACAACTGAACTATTACACATTATAAAACAATTCTGCATTATCTGTTTACTAATCACTGAATTTCAAGATCTCACCATTCTTCTTCAGCATTCTGAGCCCTTGAGGTTCACTGCTGCAGTTATCACCTGCCTCCATTCATCTCTTCCCAGCTGGTGACACCAAGTGTTTGTAGGTCAGTCTGGATATTTTCTCACCATCGTTTTCTTGGTCTATGACCACTCAACTTCCTTGTGAACACAGCTTTTACCTCTGCGTCATCTATAATTCTTTCAATATGGGGCATATTTGGTCATTAGCTCTCCTGATACCAGTGATCAATAGTGATTTAAACAGATCATGAACTGTGTTGCTGCTTCCCACTCTCCATTCCCCACTATTTGCACCTTTAATGGGTCCAAAGATTCGTCAAAGACTCTTGTTTTCACAAATCTGTAATAAAGCTTCATCTTCTTTTAGTTTTGTTTCAAGTTTTAGAGCCATATAAAACGATTGGTCTGTTCAGCGCTTTTTATATTTTGATCCTGGTGTTGTAAGACAAGACACTTTGACTTTTACCAGCTTTTGTAGGACACAGTATACTTTATTTCCAGAATGTATTCTAGATTGTATTTCTGCTCTTTGTATGATGGAGCAGTTTAAGTTTTCACCATAGTACTTATATGTTTTCGTACTTCGGATTTTCTTATAACCACATATTCTGTCTTACCATAGCCCAATCGATTCAGTGCATCAGATATGTGAAATCTGCAATGCGTTTCGTGTATTTGCAATCACTAAAGTGACTACAGAGACAAGATGGAGGTACAATGGAGGTAATCAGACATGTTTATGTTACAGTGGGTCATATTTTAACTGAAGGCAGCAAATTATGAATAATCAGCAAAAGGATGTAAATAGCCAAGAAAGAGAACAAATAACTAATATAATTAAATATATAGATAAGATAAAGAGTCAGTGCAAATGTGTTAGTACAACCAAAGATGGGAAAGCATAGGCTGAAAAATCTGCACCAAAAACCTAAAAGTCAGTGACGATAAAGGATCAAAGTAAATTTATACGGAATCATGGCAAAGCATGCCCAATCAGCTTAACTGTTGACATTACAGATTAGGGCCAACAAAGGGAGCCAAGGTAGCACAACAGCTAGTTGCTTGCCTGTAGAAAATCTCGGGTTTAAATCTATATGGAGTATGATTTGTTTAAAGGCAATTGCTGTGATGTCAACCATATCGCCAATCAAGCACTGACTGGTCTAGTAAAATATGAGTTTATTATTATAAATGTAATGTGACACTGACTGGTCTAGTAAAATATCAGTTTATTATTATAAATGTAATGTGACACTGACTGGTCTAGTAAATTATGAGTTTATTATTATACACGTAATGTGACACTGACTGGTCTAGTAAAATATCAGTTTATTATTATATACGTAATGTGACACTGACTGATCCAGTAAAATATTAGTTTATTATTATATACGTAATGTGACACTGACTGGTCTAGTAAAATATCAGTTTATTATTATATACGTAATGTGACACTGACTGGTCTAGTAAAATATGAGTTTATTATTATATACGTAATGTGACACTGACCGGTCTAGTAAAATATCAGTTTATTATTATATACGTAATGTGACACTGACCGGTCTAGTAAAATATCAGTTTATTATTATATACGTAATGTGACACTGACTGGTCTAGTGAAATATCAGTTTATTATTATACACGTAATGTGACACTGACTGATCTAGTAAAATATCAGTTTATTATTATATACGTAATGTGACACTGACTGATCTAGTAAAATATCAGTTTATTATTATATACGTAATGTGACACTGACTGATCTAGTAAAATATCAGTTTATTATTATATACGTAATGTGACACTGACTGATCTAGTAAAATATCAGTTTATTATTATATACGTAATGTGACACTGACTGATCTAGTAAAATATCAGTTTATTATTATATACGTAATGTGACACTGACTGGTCTAGTAAAATATCAGTTTATTATTATATACGTAATGTGACACTGACTGGTCTAGTAAAATATCAGTTTATTATTATACACGTAATGTGACACTGACTGATCTAGTAAAATATCAGTTTATTATTATATACGTAATGTGACACTGACTGATCTAGTAAAATATCAGTTTATTATTATATACGTAATGTGACACTGACTGATCTAGTAAAATATCAGTTTATTATTATATACGTAATGTGACACTGACTGATCTAGTAAAATATCAGTTTATTATTATATACGTAATGTGACACTGACTGATCTAGTAAAATATCAGTTTATTATTATATACGTAATGTGACACTGACTGATCTAGTAAAATATCAGTTTATTATTATATACGTAATGTGACACTGACCAGTCTAGTAAAATATCAGTTTATTATTATACACGTAATGTGACACTGACTGGTCTAGTAACTCGTTAAATGAGTTATAACTCAACTCATAATGTGTTATTCCATACTGAGAGTTATGAGTCTAGCATCATATGCCAGATGCACCAGTGGCGTACAAAGGTGCTTTACTTATACTTCACTTTAAAGACCAAGCAAGGCAGAGCAGAAACTCTCCACCTCTACAACTCCCAAACACAAAGGTAACTAACTGTCCAGATCCTTGTAGGAGTGGAGATCCAGTAAATACAAGACTGACAGCAAAACACTCAATATATGACTATCATAGTGTACACACAAACCACAGGAACTGTCAGGTAATGGAAACAAGCTCAGGTTTTGAGCAGACTGAAGGCAGTCCTTGAAAAAAGATCCCAGTTGATGGTCTGCACAACTATAATATGGCAATACCAAATGGGGGTACAGTAATGTTAGCAGTAATTGTAAGTGTTAGTAAAGCTAGTAGTAGTAGTGATATTTTTATATGTAAATAAACAGATTATTCTAAGAAAACTAAATGGTGGTAAAGAACTATTTTGCTGTTCATTGCAACTTGACAGTGTTGTGAGATAGCCTGTTTTCATGGACGTCCAGTGGTTAAGAGAGAGTCAGATCTCACAGTAAAATATTATGCTTAGCATGGCTTCGTAGTCCACATTATTATGCCGACATCTTTATGAAAAGTGAACGGAAAGATCATGGAGGGAGAAAACCTTACTAGCTGTCAGAAGTGAGAATATATGTCATGGCAGCTCAGATGACTTGTACACACACATGCCCTGACAGCTCAGATGACTTGTACACACACATGCCCTGACAGCTCAGATGACTTGTACACACACATGCCCAGACAGCTCAGATGACTTGTACACACACATGCCCAGACAGCTCAGATGACTTGTACACACACATGCCCTGACAGCTCAGATGACTTGTACACACACATGCCCTGACAGCTCAGATGACTTGTACACACACATGCCCTGACAGCTCAGATGACTTGTACACACACATGCCCTGACAGCTCAGATGACTTGTACACACACACGCCCTGACAGCTCAGATGACTTGTACACACACATGCCCAGACAGCTCAGATGACTTGTACACACACATGCCCAGACAGCTCAGATGACTTGTACACACACATGCCCTGACAGCTCAGATGACTTGTACACACACATGCCCAGACAGCTCAGATGACTTGTACACACACATGCCTTGACAGCTCAGATGACTTGTACACACACATGCCCTGACAGTTCAGATGACTTGTACACACAAACATGCCCTGAACCTACTGGCACCCTGAGAGTAACTATGTCAAGTACATCTTACTTGTGTTACTGGAGCAGTCATCATCAGAGTCGTCATCGCTGTTGTCAGTGTGCAAACTCCTGACAGGCACACCAATGTCCATGAACACCTCCTGCCGGTGCCGAGCCACCTCACACTCAAGACACTTGGTCTGGTGCACCATGGTGCCTCCAAACAAGCTCTCCACCAAAGTACCAGGTTTGATTCCTAGAGAGCACCAACCAGCAAAAGTAATCAACAAACTGCTTTTGATCCTGAGGAATCAAGGCTGCATGGCAAGTGCATTCAGCATGGACTAGGCAGGATAGAATTGTATTGCATCATGTGTCGGCTCTGCATTTATGGAAGCCTCCTTGGATGGCGGGGAATGCCCATGATCTGCTCCTGCCTTCCCTTGAGGGCTGAAAACTACATAGAGCTGCCTTAAGGACGACATGCCTGGGGCCACACCTGTTAAAAGTCAAAGAGGACACCACACAAATAAGGCAACATCTCGACCCACACAAAACAATGGCCACAGTCAACCTAGAAATAGGCTTGACGTCTTCCTCCGAAGTCGGAGTACATCTGCCGGAGAGGCGGGGAACGAGTACTGCAAACAAATAAGCCAGTAAAACGGATGTACACGCAAAACTCAGGTCAAGGTAAAAGCCAAAAGTCCATTTTGGACGAACAACCGTGACTTACCGCCGGAATTCACAGCCGGTGAACAAAAAGAATTGTATTGTTGTCCCAGACAGGAAAAACCCATAGCCTTACCAAGGATCTAAACTTAGGTGTAAGGGAGTCAGTGGTTTCGGGGCATGGCGCCCGCCTCAAGTGCTGGAGGTCCCGAGTTCAAGCCCGTTGAAGACAGGGATTTTTCACGTGGACTTCTAGTAATCTCCCCTAATCTCTGGGTAGTAAGATCGAACGCCCGTGTGTATTGCTGCAAATGTTTAAAAAAAACTTGGCAGTTGGAAATCGAAATGAGTAGCCTAATGGCACTGCCCAGGCAATTTTTAGCGTTAAATATCTATCCAGAGTTTTGTCAGGATCCTTGCCGGTGCTTTGGAGTTCGTGTACTGCGCTGAGGTTCTTTGGACTCAGGCTTGAGTTAGAAGTAGAATGGAGCATTTATGGGCTACTACCCTTGTGCCATAATGTTGATCCATTGTTTAAACATAAGCTTAGGTCTCCTGCATGAGAGTCCAGTATTATTAACTCATTGGTCAGCCCTCTGCAAAGGATGATTGCTGACCAATAACGTTACTTACTTAGTCCCTTCTTTTCTACCTTGGAGTGTAGAGGTTTGCCACAGAGATCACTAGACGTCTCTATCAGCAGTTTAGCAGTTTTCTTTCTGGCTTTGTTCCATTCCAGTCCTCTGTCAGTTACGGACTGTCGGATGTTGTCTTCCTAGGTCTGGTTCCCTGGTACTTAGCCTCCCATGGTGGCCGATTATCTCCCATTCTACGTACATGTCCAAACCATCGTAACTGTGATTGATCCACTCAGGTCTGTAAGGACTGGGTATCAAGTTCTTGACATATTGTCTGATTGCAGACTTTGTCCCTTGGACCACCTTACTCAGATATCTCATTGCTGAGCCTAAAGCTGGCTTCTGTGAGCTGTTGTCATTGACCATGACTCACACCCATAGGTCAGGACTGGTACATAGGTAGAGCAGTAAACAGCCATTTTCGTCCTCTTGCCAATTTCTCTTTTGCTAAAAAACCCTCAGTTTATGGCCTGGAAGAGTCTCCCAGCAGCTGCTCTTCATGTAGACAGCTCAGTCTTAATGCCTCCATTTTGGTCAAATACAACTCCAAGGTATCTGAATTGGCTGACCTGCTCCAATGCATACTGTCCCATCATGATCTTGTGTTTCTCTCTTGAGATCACCATGGATTTAGTTTTGAAGATACTGATGGTCATCCCTCTCTTCTCATGGTTTTCAATAACGCTCAGTAACTATACCACACATTTCCTCCAGATAAATGTCACATCAATGGCATCACGCCAACAATTGAGTATCAGTGCATCACACACCCACTCATTTACCCATCCTGACAAAAGCCCAACCAAGATTCTAGGTACTGTTAAAAGTATGATCATTAAAAATAGAAGCCAACAATAAGCACCCAAAACAGACTGGTACAATCAGATGCATGTATACAAGCATTTCTGGCTGTGATCATCTCAGCACCTCTAGACATCACTGGAGTATTATGACGGTAACTGACATTAAGCTGAACTGAATGGAAAAACTAAAGAGGAAGGACAAAGAAATTGCAAACACCCCAAAAGAAATTATCTGCTATGGAAAAATGCTGCGGTGTGCTCGATGGTGTAGCCAGCACCAAGTGTGCTTTCTTCACAAACATTTATAAGATTAAGACGTAGACCAAGACTGGTTCCTTTTTTTTTTCAGGAAGAATGATAAACCATGAAAAAACTGATGTTTATGATTTGATGTTACACATGATTTAATATACTGTATTCTTTTTAGTATAACTTCTTTAAGGAAGCAAGTATAGTTTCAGTACGAGGTCTTATTCGGTAGATTGACCACTTTCATAACTTGACCTGTTTACTACAGTCTTTAGGGTGGTCAACATATAGAGGTTCTACTGTATATAATGATACATAAAGGTAGTAATCAATAAATACAATCAAAAGCATTCAATGGAATATAATCTTCTGGCACCTAAGCAACAATATGTATCGGGTGACTCACGCTAAGACCTCATGACTGCTACCACTGAGGCTAAGGGGAGAATTTGTTGTCAACATGACTTCAGATAGCCATTTAATTGCTGCAAGTGCTCAAACACAGAGGCCAAGGCACTCCCAAGATGTCTCGTAAACACACTACTATAGAAATGTTTAAGCAGCAATTACAGGAAACTGGATCCTACCAAAAGTGCCAGGTTTGCAGTCAGAGCTAAGATTCCTAATTTTGCTTTCATTACATCCTTATAATCTTGTTTTCTTTTAATTAATACCCTGTACATTCTATGTTCAGTAAATCATAGTCCATAAACAGTGCCAGTTTGTCGCCTTTAAGATCTGCCCAGTTTTCTCTCTGTGATGACTTGTAATATAATAAAATCAGACGAATGCTAGGAATAAAGCCAGTCTTACAGGTCATCAAAGAACAACAAATGAAGTGGTTTGGACACCTAACAAGAATGCCCTGGTACTATCCGCCACAGCGAGCCACACTAAAATGTTACAACAGGTATAGAGCGAGTGGAAGACCTCGGAAAAGATGGAGTGATGGCATTAAGAACAGCCTTACAGAAATGAACATCAGTCTTAATAGTGCTCTTGACAGAGCCCATCAACGAAAATGACATCTCCCCCCCCCCCCCCCCCCCAACACTTCCATGAGGTACAAGGTGGAAGAGAAGAAGAAGAAGACTTGTAATCGTTGTTTTGGACAAACAGGTGATTGTCTTGTTGCACCTTTGCATTCTAAAGGGGCAGCCTCCAAGCCTGCCATCTATCTGATTCATGGTTACCCACTACTTTCGGAGACGCATGAACCACTCAGCTTCAGCTAGACCCTTCTCCTTTTCCAGCCAGGCTAAAGTACTATAACTGTTTTTACAAATGATATATATGGCACAGTAAAGTACTATAACTGTTTTTACAAATGATATATATGGCACAGTAAAGTACTATAACCGTTTTTACAAATGATATATATGGCACAGTAAAGTACTATAACTGTTTTTACAAATTATATATATGGCACAGTAAAGTACTATAACTGTTTTTACAAATGATATATATGGCACAGTAAAGTACTATAACTGTTTTTACAAATGATATATATGGCACAGTAAAGTACTATAACTGTTTTTACAAATTATATATATGGCACAGTAAAGTACTATAACTGTTTTTACAAATTATATATATGGCACAGTGAAGTACTATAACTGTTTTTACAAATTATATATATGGCACAGTAAAGTACTATAACTGTTTTTACAAATTATATATTTGGCACAGTAAAGTACTATAACTGTTTTTACAAATTATATATTTGGCACAGTAAAGTACTATAACTGTTTTTTACAAATGATATTATTCCAAACCGTTGTGAACATGACACAACAAGCAAAAACTGAATAGTGCAGAAGAAGGTAACATGCAGATGGAAAGTACAGTAAGACTTTGGACAAATGTGGCCCAGTTACATAACATATGCATACCAGGAAATGCAGGTACAATACAGGAGATGGGTGACAAATATTTATGCAATAAACTGACACAATAAGGAATTTCTAATATTGAGCATGGGAGAGAACTAAAGTTCCAGTGAACCAAGAGTTGAAGAAAAGACTCTGTATATCTGATGAACAATATAAGTGGTATGTTTTTACACCGGAACCCACAGGAGAGTTGGACTAAAGGCAGACCAAAAACCACATGGAGAAGGGAGCTAGAGAGTGAAGTTACAAAGATGGGGAGAGCAGTACTCAATGGCAAAAAAGATAAAGCGACTCGGCTTGAGTTGGTTGCCGGCCTATGCTTTACTGCAGGATAGAAGGCAGAAGAAGTAACAAACAATCATTAAAAAAATGATGTGACAGATAAGCTGAAACGAGAGTATAAATAAATGAGCTATCTGAGAGAGACAAGTTGATACAACAAATAAATTAGCTACCTGAGATAGACAAATCCGTTTTCTGTACTTGACACTGCTTCAGCATATCTGCCATCTGAGATTTCTGGTGATGTGAAGTGATTCTGCAGCCTTTTCTCATGTCCACTAAGGCCTGTTTGGCACTGACAGATAGCCCAGGTGATGTCTGCAGAAGCCAATCACACCTGTCTAGAGTCACTGAGAGTGATTTTAAACAAATATCCTGCCCAGCTGAAGGCGGCTGGCATGTTTTCAACAGTTTGTTAGAGCTGCATGAAATTAGCTTTCTGAACTTTGTGGACTTTGATGTTCTCACTGACTTTCGAGCAGGCGCTACTGAACAGACTTTGGAGTGCCGCTGCTTGCTTTCATTCTCTGCAGGTACAGACTCTCTGCAGTCTGTCAAACTTATATGATCTCGAATATTATCTGTTGGTAAACACTTTACGTCACTACTGATGTTACTCGAATGTAAGGAGCTGTCTGTATCATCATACAATATTTTTCTCCTTGCAGTGAAACTTTCCAGCCCCATCCTCTTTTGACAAAGAACGGACATTGCTTCTATAGCACTGACAGACTTAACTGGGCTTACCCCCAGCCAATCGCATTTCCGGAGTTCCAGTTTAGGCTGGAGTGTTCTTGTATGGTCAGGAACATTTGCTCCGGGACTTCTCTGAGCAGTCGTATCCTGGACCCCAGGACAACAACTGGATATCTGAGGACTTTTATGTGCTTGTTTGTGGAGGTTTTCTTTGTCTTGTGGATTACAGAGAGAATAAGTTTTGGCACAGGTTACCAGTCTTGGAAGTATACCACAAGTGGATGTCTTTGTGGTACACGGCGCTGCCAAATTATCTGAAGTCTGCAGTGCCTCAGGAAACTGACTTCTGCTTTCATGTGCAGATTCATCATTAACATTCAGCCGTGTATACAATGCAGAATCTCCATCTTTGTCACTCTGTACACCACTAGGGTATGTATCAGCTAAAGGCACTGGACACTTTGTTGCGTTCTCCGGAGATAATGCCAGTCTTTCACTGGAAGCTCTATCCAAAGGCACACATAATCCTGGCTTCTGATTTAACTCCAAAAGTGAAGACTTTTTTTTCGGGCTGACTTGAACTGTGACATTGATTTCTTTGTTAGGTTCAAGCACATGCAGTGGTAAAATATCACCATGTGGCTCTGCTACCAAACCTGTCTCAGTACGAGTTGCTGCTGGCTGTGAAGTCAATGATGGCAACTGCAATGAAGTAGCCATACTACTTCGTGACCCAGAAGTAATATACTTTTTGGTGGCAGTGTTTATGGGAGAGTTCATGTGTGATGTTTCTCCCTCAGGAATCATGGAAATCTCATCAGTGTGTTCAACCACGACGGGAGACTTTGCTGGGGACTTTAACACCATTTTACAGGGACTCATTTTGTCTTTAGATGAAGGAGACACTGCCTGGTGATGACTGTGTGAAGCTTCCAGAATATTATCTACAGCTACACCCAGAGACCTGCTGCTGTTACTATTACAGCTGTCACTGTTGTTGTTGACATCGCCAACATGATTATCACCCTTGATAAACTGCTCACCTGCCTGGCAAATTGAACTGATTATTGCCCGGCCCCTCACGCCAAGCCGTTTTTTTATTTGGTTCAATGGTTGGAAAGGTAGAATTCTGGAGCTGGTTGATCCATCTTCACATTTTACTGCTGTAGATGCCTTAGTTGAGGGTCCTGGTGACATTTTACAGTTTTGTGAAACAGTTGCCTCTGTCTGAAGTTTCTGGTGACAATGACTGTCAGAATGACAATCTACAGCAAGGTTTTCTATATGTCTTTGACCAGCAGAACCAGTGAGTCCACTTTGAGTTTCCTCATGTGTCCCTAGACTCATGAAACAAAGGTGGCTATCAGAGCCAGCAGTTTTCCTCCGTAATCCTCGTGTCCTGACAGTGCTGGTTGTAGCAACATCCTTGGAGGCCCCTGCCACTCTGTTGCTTGCTGCTGACTTAGATTTTGACCTCTTCCGTTTTCTTCCTTTTGTAGTCTGACAAAAAGAAAGACCTGAGAAACTTGTCTCCACTTCCTCTGCCTCCAACTTTAAAGATGTAGCATGATCATCAATTACATCATTTCTGTTATTTATAGTGCTGTTCTTGTCAGATAAAATCATAGCCGAATTCCTTTCACACTTCAAAACATTCGTCACAAGAACCTGCTGCCTATGACTGTCACTTTCAGTTATTTTACTTCTATCTTGACTTTCACCACCCTTTAAACTCGTACAGAATGTATGTGACAGGGTACGTTTTTCTGTCATTCCAGTATCAATCTTTTCATCCTCTTCAATGTCAAGCACAGCTTCACTAATTCTCTCGACATCTTCTCCATTAGCTCCTTCTTTGTCCCTTAGTTGTGTCAATTCTTTCTCTGCATCTTCAATGTAGCACAGCAGACACCGCAACAGTTCCTGGGCATCATGCTGGAAATGACCTTCGAACATTGGGTTCAGTTCTCTGTAATAAATATAAAGAGAAAAGACGAGATAAACAACTGATTATTGTTTGGAAAAAACTGCTTTCAAAAATGTACTATTACCAAAAGTCACCTTAGAAAATGTGGAATCTTCTCTTTGATCAACCCTTGCTCCAGTTATCTCAGCAAGATGCTGGAGATGAACTAAGGAAATTATGTGTGTTCTTTTTCATGTATTGTGTATGTTAGTTTTCACCTTGCTCTGCACTTATATTTCTTCAAAGTGATTCTCTGCAGTAGCTGATACCACAGCATCATTCTCAGATGACCAAGCCATTTCCTTTTTTATCCTGCATGACCGCACTTCAGTCCTAAACTTCTTCAAATTTCTAAATTTATATCTCTCCTTAAATCTCAGGAAAACTTCTAAAACATATCTGTTGTTATAATTTTCTGTTCAGTACTTACAGTAGGAGCCATGGTGATGTAGCGGCTAGATGCTTACCTGCGTATCCTAAGGCTGAGGGTTCAAATTCATATTTCTTCATACTTTAGTTTCCAGGTCGACCTAGCCCTGAATAGGCACCAGGTAAAGGTGGCTGGCATAAGGTTGACCACATCAGCCATCAAGGGCCGATTAGCTTTTGAAAATATGTGTCTAGCCTCATATGCCAGATGGGTCACTGGTGTGTAGAGGGATCTTTACTTGTACTTACAGTAGGAGTCCATATTTGGCATGATAGCAGGTCGATCTTAAATAGAGCTTACGGGGTAGATCTTAGTAATTAAAACAATCCACTCATGGATAAACAATTAAAACAATACAATCATGGATAAACAAATACTTCTATAAAGTAACATCAAAACTAGGCCATAAAAAATGATATTACTATATAACTGGCCAGTGAGCTAGATGACTTAGAAACATGGACTTTAACCAAGCAGGGGCCGCATTAGCGCAGTCTATAGGAGACTCACTTTTAAATCCAGCTGCAACTCGCTGCAGCCCATGGCCAGTGTTAACACTCTGGGGTAAATGGAGGAATGTCACTGTAGCTAGAGAGTTTCGTGCGGACGGCGACACAGGCAGACAGTTTCTCATTAGCTGTCCATACTGGTGACAGAACACTTATTGTTTATAACCGTGTGTTATGACACTGGTTCACATCCTCCGATGTGAAAAAAATGAGGGGGAAAGGGGGAGACAGAAGGAGAGGGGAGAGAGAGAGAAAAAAAGACACTAACAAAAGTAAGTCGGAAGAGAAAGAAAGGAAAGCAGAAAGAAAGAAAAAAGAGGAGATACAGGGGAAGAAGGCAGAAGTACTAAACAGACAATAGGAAGCTGTACTCAAACAGCAGACTAGCTTACCTAATATTATCCAGTAATGCACTGGGTCTCACTGCCATACTAGAGGCATCTGCAGTGGCAATTTCCTTATACTGCTCCTCTCTCTTGTCCATTTCTGTAAACATCTGTAAAGAAAATAAAGCAAATGCTGCTACTATTGTATACAACTATATACAGCACTAACCAACCTCACAGATTTTGAATCAAAAAATGACATCACTGCACTATGGACATTCCCATAGGTGCTCCACATCCTTCTTCAGCAGCCAACCAAGAGTTGACATGCTAACAGTACCAGCTGCAACCAAATTCAAAGTCCGCCTGTTTCCTCCTCAAGTTGAATTTCCAGAACCTCTAATCACACCCTGCCTCCTTCCCCGGGGTGAATTAGTCTTTCAATGTAAGGATTTTCTGCCTATTCTATTGCACTTGATCCCAGAGGGCCTTAACCACATCCTCTTTATTATAAAGTAGCTCACCAGCCACAGTAGTGGCATCAGCTAATCTATCAGCCTGCTCATTACCTCAAACATCTGAATAGCCTGGACAGAAAACCCACGACATGCTCCTGATCTGGGTCTTATCAAGGGACAAAAGCCAACATGTGCGCAGGATGCCAGCTTCAATTGTACGAAGCATGCTATGTGAGACCGCTACAACTATAACATGTGTGACTGTGCTGCTCTTAAGCCATTGGAAATCTTTTACGGATCTAATACAACTTGAAATAAATCATCATAGCTATTAATCGACTGGTCAAGCCACCAATACAAAAAGATAAAGTTTAGCTCATCTAATTACAAAAATGGAAAGACCAAATCGGATAGTCAACAGTAATTCAGGGATACAATGTCTTGTTTAATGTTTTGAAAAGTTCCAACTTGGGTGTTAATCCTTATGGTTGCTTCTTGTTGCTAGTATACAACATGTTCTACTCCTAAGCTATACATCAACAGATTTTCTTACGAGTTTAATTTAATTATTATCACAGATATTTAAATTGTTCAACAGTGTGGGTATTCCTGTATTTATTATGAAATAAACACTGTACTTACAACACAAGTTTAGTACACAATATGCTCAAAGTAGAGATTAACATAAACAACAGCCAAAGCTGTTCACTGGAGATAGGAGTACAAATACTATCCTACTTAACCGTTCTATATTTAAGTGCAATTGTTAAGTTTTAACTTTGCTATATTCACAGTTACCTCACAGATAAAGAAAGGAAAGGCCATATTCCATCTCTTTCTCTAGAAAAAAGAAAAATAGAAACAAATGCTAGGGCAGAGAAAAAGAAACAAAAAAGACAGAAGTAAACAAGTTGTCTACTATTCCTACTTAGTATTCTGTAGCTGTAGAGTTCACGATAGACAGTACAGCCTCAGACCCGTAATTGTAGAGTTAACGATAGACAGTACAGCCTCAACCCTGTAATTGTAGAGTTCACGATAGACAATACAGCCTCAACCCTGTAATTGTAGAGTTCACGATAGACAATACAGCCTCATTCAAGTCTGAAGTATAATTTTCATTTTAGAAATTAGTGATGGCCTGCTTTTCATTTAAGATATTACTGAAAATCTTCTCTACAGATTTTACACTCTAAAGATGGGATTCAAAATGCAAGAGGAATTTTCAATTCAGACAATATACACCTGCCATCACGGGCCACCTGTCACGGCTTGCTGGTCACCTAAATCACTGTCAACAAGTTCCCAATATTTGCTAGCTTACATTCGCTTTATAACACATTTGCTAGCTATTCTGTGGAGAGAGTCATATAGGATAAAACCCAGTGCAATGAAGTCAATCTTCTTGACTTCATCTATTCTTTTAGATTAGATATGAATAGCTAAACTTGCACAACTGTCTTGTGCAGAAACCATTGCAAATACTTACAGCACATGAATTCTTAACAATCTGCCATGCAGATCTTCCTTCTGAGCCATCAGTCTCTGAATTCTGAAAGACAAGTGGAAACTATTATAACTTGCAAGACAACAAAAGAATATAATACTAAAACCATGCATATGCATACATATATCTACATGTTAAGTTAGGCTGCCCATCGCAGACAATGCTGCAGGATTGTAAAATGTTACAACTTACACACAGTCTAGGACAGGGCTTTTCAACTACGTTTACCTAGGGGCTAAACATTTTGAAATTAGGGATCATCATTGGCCACATGCCCAAGCCCCAACACAGAAAGATTATCAATACAGTACAACTTCCAATGATCCGAGGGCCACATTTGGTTCGTGGGTGGCCAGTTGAATAACCATTCCAGGACACATAAGGAAACACACGGGCTGGCTAACCCCCTTACTTCCACAAATATCACTTGCTAATATTTCAGTGAACATTTTTACAATTATCTTTACCAATCTGATGAGATGGGATTATTATTATTCTAAGCCAGGGCTATACAACTGACGACCTGCAGAGTTTCTAGTTAATGGCCCATGGATTAAAGCCAGTTGTACTGCATTAATTATTTTTCTTTGCTAACACTTGGGCCTCTGGCCTGTAACAACACACCTTTCACAATTTTGGCCCCTGAATAAACTTAACTGAATAGCCCTGGTCTAAGCGTTCACTGGTAAATTTCGGCAGAAAGTTCCGGTTGTTGTCCACTACTGCACTTTAGTCTTGATCCAGAACTTAAGTTCTGCATGCACATCTATTCTAAAGATCTTCTTTTCCTTCTTCTTCGCGTTCACCAGCTGTAAACTCTGGTGTAAAGTTCTGGTTGTTCGTCCACTTCTGGACTGCAGTCCTGTTCCAGAACCTGAGTGTTGCGTGTACATCAGTTTTACAGATCTGATTCAATTGAATGCAGACTGCTGGTTCCTTGCCTCTCAGGCAGATGCACTCCGACTTCAAAGGAAGCTCCCCAGTTAGTCGACTCTTACGACATGCTTTTGGGGAGGCAGTGGGTCTATTCTTGTTGTCCCCACAATAGGGCCCCGGAACCCACACGGGGATCTAAAGATCTGACTTATCTATATGCAGACCTTTGGTTCCTTACCTCTCAGGCAGATGTACTGACTAAAGGAAACATTACTAATGAGTCTCCTCCTTCAACGTGTTTGTTAGGGAACAATGTGTCTATTCTCTGTACTTAAAAACAAGAGTCCGGAACCTACACAGGGAATGTGGAAATGAGGTGGGATTGATTCCTTGCAATGTTTTGCCACAGCTTAAGACTGAAGCCCAGACCTATGGCTTGGTGAACAAGTGCATTATTCATTACGCTACTGTGGCTTGCCTCTCTCTCTCTCTCTCTTTAATATAAATGTACAAGTGACTGAACAGAATGAAACACAGAATGTCGACAAACAACATGCACTGTGACGAGAACACATATAAAAGACAATGTATGGTGTCCAGTTTAATTATTAGAACTAGCCCTACAGTGGAATCACTGAATATGGTTGGGGGATTGGGGGGGGGGGGGGGGGGGGGGGAGAGACAAGCAAGGAAATGGAGTGAGCTGCATATGATGACACATGATAGGATGAGTTGGCACAGGATAGGATGAGTTGGAAGGGGATAGGATGAGTTGGAAGGGGATAGGGTGAGTTGGCACAGGAATAGGATGAGTTGGCACAGGAAAGGATTAGTTGGAACAGGATAGGATGAACTAGCAAAAGCTGGTGAGGGCATTTAGTTTCCTGAGGGACACAG